AGTGAGCATCTACATCCAACTGGGTATTACAGACTGGTAAATTACAAATGTATGTCATGTGTCTGTAGCGCTACCCCCGTAGGAGCCGCTTGTATCTTGCCCAGATTTTCAGCATTTCCTATATCCACATGCACACTTCTGCTTGTTACTATAATGATCAGTCTAGGGCAGGGTATCTCAACTAGGGTTCCTCCAGAGGTCGCTAGGGGTTCCTTGAGCGATGAGCAATGTTTACCTCTCAGATAAATTCCCACTGAGATCTTTGATCTTTGTAGCTATCTGTAAGGGGGTGTTTCTTCCCAATGACCGCAAGTGTAAGAAGCAGTCTTCCCAATGACCATCTTACTAACGTATCAGGAGTTATAGATATAGTAATTTTTAGCAGGGGTTCCTTGAGATTGGAAAGTTATTTTAAGGGTTCCTCTGTGTCGCAAAGGTTGTGAAAGACTGGTCTAGGGGTTGCAGTTTTTGTTTTTGAACAGGGATAGGGAAGGGATATAGTGGGATACTTCGAATTGGACTTATGTACACTTGAAGACAGCTTTCTCTAAGTAGATCTGTGTAGCAAACTGTACAAAGACAGTAGCGAAGTCCCTCTATAGAAATACAGAACTTAGCGGACAGTTGCTCTGCTGGACACCAGCTGGTGTCCCCTCTAGTTTACACCCAGCAGCTGACTATGTAGGTCTCGAGGGGGTTAAGCACAAGTCCCAGCATCTATGTAGAACAATCTGTACTCACAAGGCCCTTGCTGCAGGTCAACTTCTTCTGTGATACCAGTCAGGATCTGTAGACATCCCCCTCAGTCAGTTCTCAGAAGCACACTAGATTTCAGCATTCTGGCCCATGGGTTACCCACCCGAGGCCCCCTGGCAGCATGAGCTAGAAGAGGCAGCCACCTCCCTGGCTAAAACTCATTTCTCGGAGGAAGAAGAACCCAGATCCCATGTGATCACTGAATATAAATACTAGTATCCAGCATGCTCAGGGGCACCATTCCCTGTAATTGGCTGGAACTGCATCCATATTCATGCTGCTGATATGCATGCGTCACTCCTGTTCACCCAGAACCTTCCAAGGTTGCCTGGATACAGAGGAGCCAACCACAGCAACAGTAGCACCGTGAGCCTCTTAGGATGTTCTCACTAAACAACTGTAGCTTTTCTGTTAAGCAGAAAATCTACTATATTTTGCTTATCAGTCTCTTGTTAAGCAGGAGACCTCACTATAGTAAACTAGACTGTGTACATCCTAGCAGCCTACCTAGGAGGGTGCTACGTGTCTATAAGTACTCTCCTAGATTGTAAGCTCCGAGGAGCAGGGCCCTCCTATCCCTCTTGTATTGAACTGTATTGTTGCTGTATTGTCTCCCATTAAATTGTAAAGTGCTGAGCAAACTGTTGGGGCTATATAAATACTGTATAATAATAATAATGAAGTAGACATTTTCTGACCGACTCCTTTCAGAGGAAGAACTGATCTTTCGGTCCCTAAACAATTGCTAGTGTTTTCTTGATATGAGGATATAAGATGGCATAGTAGATGACAGGCAGTGCTCACCCCCTTATCCACTGGCATATACATGTGTGCTTGATGAACTGAACCTGCATGCTCATGGAAAAATCGATTGGATCTTTTTCACTGAACTCCATTTTAAAATAAGTGTTCTGCAGGCAAGTAGTTATAGTTATTACACTTTCACTGCTCATCATTTTTCTCCCATTCTAACAAATTTGAACTTAGCTGGCTGTGAATCATCAGGATATCACTGCTGGCTCACAAATCCAAGATGGTGGGATGGAGTATCCACATTCCTAAGAAGATTCGGCTGCAGGGATGACAGTTCTGATCTCCATGGACCTTTTTTTTTTTTTAAGTCAGCAGGTACAGCATTTGCAGCTGCTGGCTTCTGTTTTGTTTTAAAAACCAGAGTAAAATTCCTTTTATTCACACACCCTGACCAGACTGCCTGACTACAGGTATATACACTACATGTCATTTCTTTTCTCAGCTTTACAGCTTCCTTTGGCAAGTAAAATAGGTTACAAGTATTTGTCACACTCCCTACCTATGCATTTACCATCCCATTTTATTTGTTTTGTGTTCATTTCATATAAATGCAAAGCTGACTGTTTAAAGCATTTTTTCCTAATAAGGTCGCCGAAGTTTCCAGCTGATTATGGAATACCTTCCTAATGGTAGTTTGCAGGAATATCTTCCTAAGCACAGGGATATGCTGGAGTTCCACCACCTCCTTCTTTACGCATCCCAGATTTGCAAGGTATATATTTTCAACCCTTTCGCTGCCAGAGCTGATTTTGTATTTTTTTTGCACACGTTTAAAAAAATCATTTTAGGCCTGAATATTACACAAAACCCCCAAAACATTATCAATTTTCTGAAAGCAGACACCCTAGAGAATAAAATAGTAGTAGTTCTAATTTTTTATGTCACATGATATAACTGCAAAAGCCTAGGAAATGCAAAATTTCAGTAAAAACATACTAAAGTGAATTTTAGGGTAAAACAACCGCAATAAATGACCCAACGATTTTGAAAGATATAGAAGACGAGGTTGTGCCGAGTAAATAGATACCCAACATGCCAAACCTTAAATTTGTGTGCGCCTATGAAGTGACAACATACTCCAGTACCCCTTATTCTCTGTAGGTGACGTTTCCAAAGCTCCTATAGTCATCAGTTTAGCAATACGGAGGATGTCTTGTGCTAGAATTATTGCTCTCACTCCGGCATGCGTGGCGATGTGTAACATGCGTATCGTAACTGGCGTTTTCATACGTGCGTTTACATTTGTACGGGTGTAACTTTATTTTTTTTTTGCAATTTAAATAAAAAAAAATGTTTTCCTTAACTTTTTTTTCATAACATATGGGACACAAAGTCCCCTATGTGATGATTTTTGGGTTGCAGGTTCTCTGTATCTAACAGACCCTGCTTGTCTCCTCTGGTCTCCACTCAAAGTATTGGAATACAGACTGCATTGCAATACATTGCTTCTGGCTGTGCTAGCTGAGAAAGTGATAGCCGTGACATCACACACATTGCCTTCTGGGTAACAGAAAGAAGGGGAGGAGATCGGACATTCATCCACAGGAAGCGCCATGGTGTCAGCACCCACCATGGCGCTCCCTGGACCCGCAGATGGGCGAGTGTGCATGCGGGGGGGCAGTACCAGGGATTGTGGACTGCTTCCACCAGTAGTCTGCCGGTTAGCTTTATACACAGTCACGGTGGCTGAAGTCCCCGGACTGTGTATAAAACCTCCTGCTGTCAGGTTCGTACATCGTACGGACCTGGCAACAAAAGGGTTAAATAAAGCATACAATATGCTATACAGCTTTAGATCGTTTAAAAATGCTTGAAAGAAGCACATTAATAAACATAAAACCAAAAAAATATAATATATTTCAGCTTACCAATTCTTAAATGTGGTTGCTGCACTAGGTTTCTTTTGTAGGCTTTTTTCCTTTATTATATTATTACTTAATTATCTGCACTTACAGGTTTACATGGACTAAGGAATTAAAGCTAAAAACTTTACCTAACACTTTTTATGCAGTTACAATAACAGTTTTTTTTTGTTCCTTTTGTGATAAAGTTTACATAAATAATTAGAAACTGATCATTGTAAGCACTCCTGTCAGTATTAAATGGTTTGTCTCAACCCTCTAACTGCCACTTTTGCTGGACAGCTTGGGCTGTTAAAGAAAGTTGAAAAAAAACAGACCTACTTGCAGGATCAACAGGTGACAAAGGAAAAAAAAGAAAATGAATGCAGCCATTACACCTAAGAATTGGTAAGCTGTAATTAAATAGATATTGTTTCTGGGTTTAATACCACCTTAGGTCTATTTTTGTGATGTTTATAGGTGGGCTCTTGAAACCCAAGTGCTGCCCTTATATAGATACAGCCCTGGTCCCAATTTGACAACCATGCAGGCGTGAGTGCGTGTTCCAAAACATACGCTATCTGCGTTCAGAGAAATGTACAGAACTTTCAAATTGGAACCAGTGGCTGTGTCCCAATACACATGAATGGGGACTGCCTGCTCATGGATGCATGAAACACCTGTGAACCCCGTGTGGAAAAACTTGTTGCTGTTCCACATGCTACTAATGTGCAGATACTTGTCTAAACAATATTTTATCAATTTTAGTTGTTCTGGCTGTTGTTTTTTTTCAGTAAATATGCGGGTGGGTGCAGCGTGGTGTGGCTGCAGGAAATAGTTATAGTAGAGATAGATAGTGGCCAAATGGATGTTGGCACCCCTTATTATACATACTAACCAGAATATAATTCTACACTTGCAACCTAAACACTACAAGTTTGTTCCTTGTATAGTGTGTGACCACCACCCATTGACAAAAGGGTAAAATATACTACTTTGATTTGTATTTTACTTCAGTTTTAATGCTGTTTTAACGTGCAGAAATAAAGATTTTTTTTTTAGAAAATAATTTTGATGTGGTGCCCATAGAGTCCACGGGCTGTGGTCCATTGTGTTCTTTTTCCTTTGTTTGCCCTATTAGATCAAGAACGTGGCACTAGTTTATCCTGAGGGTCAGCGAGCCTCACTTTCCCACCCAGCATTGTCTCGTTCTTTTTTGCCTATATAATTAATTAATTTAGAGCAGGAAAAAGTATGGTGAGTTAGTAATGGGGAAGGATCAGCAGACGGACCAGGAGAGTACCAGTAACTGGTCCTTTACCCTCCACCTGTTTTTTTGGGTTCAGTTCCTCTAACTTGACATGAAATGTGTTGGCCACCTTGAAATCTCTCTTCCTCTCTCTTTTTCTTGGTGATCCCTACTTTCCTCTGTATCAGGGCATGCTATATCTGGGAATGCAACGTTATCTGCATCGGGATCTGGCCAGTAGGAATATTCTTGTGGAGAGTGTGAATCATGTTAAGATTGGAGACTTTGGCCTGACAAAAATCCTGCCACAGGATAAAGAATACTACGTGGTTCGAGAAAGAGGACAAAGCCCCATCTTTTGGTAAATTAAAGCAAAAAAGAAGTACAAAGAACTACACGTTTCCTTGTGTGTAATACTAAAAGTGTAGTTACCTGCACTATGTCTGCTAATTCAGTTTGTCGTCTTTGTTCTTGCTGTACTCAGGCATGCCCCTGAATCCCTCGCAGATAATATATACTCCAGAGAATCAGATGTATGGAGTTTTGGGGTCCTTTTGTATGAACTCTTCACCTACTGTGAAAGAAGTTGCAGCCCATCAGCAGTAAGTTCCTAACAATATATAAAGCATATCTAGACCCAACAATAAAAATGCAATATATAATATACTTTATAGCAGCTTTTGTCCCTTTATTTTCACTGGATAATTCTGCAAATAATACTCTTCTTCTCCCTGTACATATGGAGGCAGCCCTGGTTTCCACCCAGGCTGGGCTACAAACATAAATGAAAGAAATAGACAGCACTCTTAAAGTGTTACTAAACCCAGGACCCTGAATTCACTATATCTGGTCTCCCACAGTACACAGAACATGGAAATGCAATTATTTTAGTAAATATAAACTGCTAAATACCTTTTCTCATCAGCAGTTAGAGCAGTCTTGTGACTTCTATCAGTTTTCAGCACAGCACTGGTTAAAGCTTGTAGGAGGGGTTTTCTCTAGGAGGATGCAGAACCTCTGACCTATGTCTGGGCAGTGCTGATTGGCCCTGTGCTTATCACATGCACTCTCCAAGAAAAAAACAACCTCTCTAGCAATACACACCCAATTGAGCATGTGCAGTGTCTCCACATGATAAACACCATTTTTACACAATGCATTAACCCCTTAGGTTCTACAGTGAGTATAACAAGCATGTTTTACTGCATATACACACTGATTTTACTGTTATGGGTTTAGAAACACTTTAAACACTATGGATGGAATTTAACAAAGCAATTGTGTGTTGTCTCCCTATTATGTGGGAAATGCAGTTGGATCTATATGTATAGCCTATGTTGTTCTCTGGGTAATAGTTTTTTATTATGCTGCCACCATGAGACCATTTTTGTATTGCATGTTAAGTATTCTCTTCCCCTTCTTGTGAGGTTTTTTCCTTTTCGTTTTTGTGGGGTTCTGTAATCCTCCCCTTCTTAAGACACACATTGGGGCTAGGAAAGCCAATACTCCTTTTTCATTGCCTTAAACACTTCTATATCAACTCTACCATATCTTACTGTATTGCCACAAGCTAATGCATACAATAAAGTCATTCATGGATTCCAAATGTTTGTTGAGTTCAGCTATCTGACGAAGGTTGTCCACAGTGACGGGCTTTTCTATATTCAGGCCAGGCATAGAGGTCTCAGGAAGGGATAGTCATTATTACAACAAATGAAGTCAGAATAACTTATGACTCTTTCTGGTGCAATGCCCCTTTACTATGGCTTGCGTATAATTCAGAAATGCCTTGCAACTATTTTTAAAAAAATCCGACACATGTGCTGGATTTAGGTAGTTCATATTTCTGCCACTTTAAGAATTCAAAAAGAATCACCACAAATTTGCAAATAAGCAATCTGGCAGTAAGTAGGACAAAATTTTAGTTGATTTACAGAGAGACGCCAGTGCTCAGAGTGGGGCATAGGGCTTAGGTTGCTAGGACAACTGATGACGTATCCCCAGCTACTGGTCGGGGATTCTCTGGCCCAAAGACGAATGTAAACAAAAGGGGGATACCTGCGGATGAAAGGAATCTTCTGAATAGCAACTGAATGTGGTTGGGGATGGGTTATTAGTTCCCATGACAATGTCAGCGTCACAGCTAAAGACATCTTAACAATTATGCTGTGCTACTGGGGCTAAATATGCAGTGAGGACATCACAGTATGGATACTCCAACTTCAGTGATGCCCTCACCATACCTCAGATAAATTCATGTACCTGACTCTCTTGTTGTTCTATAGGAAAACCAAGGCTTATTTTACTCTGTTAACAATTTATTTTATATACACTTGCTTTCCTCAGGAATACCGCCGTATGATGGGGCCTCACAATTCCCAGCAAACAGTATGTGCACTTGTAGAAATGCTACGAGCTGAAAAAAGATTGCCTTCACCACCAAACTGTCCTGCACAGGTGAGCATCCACAAGGCTACGAAAGAAGCAATTTGGAAACATAAAACAAACTTTACAAAGGGCTACAAACTGAATTGACAGCTCTCTCAAAATTAACCTCTTTACAACTGCCCAACATGTATGTGTTTTTTCACCCAGACGCCGCACATATGCAGGTGATGTTTATGCGCTGAGAGCATGCAACATTGGTCACATGACCACCCATCCTCCCCCCCCGGGCTTTCAGAACTGTTTAAAGGGATGCTGGGGAGGGCAGAAAGGGGCTAAAGAGAATCCTCCCCCTCCCCCCACCTATACTTTTTTAAATCCCTGCTTACCTGATCTGGGTTGTCCTTAATTCAGCTACTTACATACTCAGCGATCGATCATTGTCTTACTGCAATCTGCTTCTCTGTTGCCACTGAAAGAGTCCTGTACCCACCAAATCATTTTTTTTACACATCCATGAGAAAGTGGCCACGCTGGGTAGGCTTACAAAGAGAACACATTGGAAACTACTGCTTTGTATCTTGTAAAGATGCTCTTTGATGCAGATTACTGCACATAATAAATCCATTGCTGACTAACAGTGCTGCATGCACTATTTTATTATGTATTTAATACTGTGCTTACTACGAAAGTTCTGCTCATCTAAAACTAGTGTCCTTTCACTTCAGGTACATAAGATGATGCTCTCATGCTGGTCTTTCGTCCCTTCTGAGAGGCCTTCATTTAGTGTTCTGGAGCACCAATGTGAGCAACTGAGGAAGATGATCCAGAGTGGAGCTGAATATACAACAGATTATAATTTAATACCTGATAGACTGAATTCTGCTTAAACTTTCCAGACCTCTGCATACAGACATTTATCTCAAAAAGCTACTCACATCTTCACTATTTACTGAATAATCACTGAACCATTTTTATATGTCTCAGTCACATAAATAAAGTTAATCTCCAGTGGATGTTTTGGGTGCTGTAATGCCAAAGCACTGTCAATGAAAAAGAGAAAACAAAAGCAATGGGCTTTGCCTGCTTTCAGCAAATTTAAAGGGATTTGCTGCTGCATCTATGAAATAATCCAATACTCTTTTTATCATTTTAATAATTAAAAGATGAAGGTCCTAACTGCTCCAGGATTAAGGTGGTCATGTTATTGTCTTGGTAGGTTTGCACTTGTGCCATACTCTTTCCAGTTTCGAATGATGAACTAAACAGTGCTCTGTATGATATTAAAAGCTTGGGATATTTTTTTATAATCTAACCCTGCTTTAAACGCCACAATTGTATCCCTGACCTGTCTGGTGTGTTCCTTGGCCTTCATGATGCTGTTTGTTCACTAATGTTCTCTAACACACCTCTGAGGGCTTCACAGTACAGCTGTATTTATACTGAGATTAAATTAACACAGGTAGACTCTATTTACTACTCAGGTGACTTCTGAAGGCAATTGGTTCCACTAGATTTTAGTTAGGGTTATTAGAGTAAAGGGGGCTAAATACAAATGCACGCCACACTTTTCAGATATTTATTTGTAAAAAAAAAATTAAAACCATTGATCATTTTCCTTCCACTTCACAATTATGTGCCAGTTTGTGTTGGTGTATCACATAAAATCCCAATAAAAGACAATTCCATTTTTGGTTGTAACATGGCAAAATGTGGAACATTTCAAGGGGTATGAATACTTTTTCAAGGCACTGTAGCTCTGCTTACTGGTATTTTTTGAAGTTACTAAGGTTTAAATTGAAGCAAGCCATAGATGAATCAAAATTTGGCTGGTTCAGCAGGGATCGCTCAAATTTCAATGTGTGTGATTGTACCTGTTCAACAGAAGTTGATCGTTAGATAGAATTCTATTGAACGAACACACTGGAAAACATTTGTTGATCAGTGGCTGCAGACACTGTTCAATGCAATCGGATATATTCTATTATCAGAGTTCAATGTCCCACCCACCTTGCTTGTGTGGGTGGAGGAGTCTTTTTTTTTTTTTGTGTTCCGCTCACTGGCGGAACAAAAAAATCCATCTATAGCCAACTTTAGTTATAGCCAAATAGAGTAAGGCAAGTGGGAAATATTACAATGGCAGAGCTAACTGCATACCTTCCGAGATTAGACTTTAAGAACTAGGGAAAGTCTGGAGAAAGGATAAAGCGGGTGTGCTGTAGCAAAAAAAGTGGGCATGGCTACTTATTGCTGAATAGTGGGTGTGGGTTTAGATGAATACTTAAAAAAAGTCTAATGGCTAGTTCACACTAGATGCAGTTCAGTTTCAGTGTTTTTTTTCTGCATCAAAAATGCATGCACTGTGTGTTCCATGTATTCCAATGGTCCTAGTTCACACTAGTGCAGTCAGTTCCAGGCAGTTTCCGGTGCAGAAAAAAAAAGTAGAACATGCTGCATTTTTTCTGCACAGAACCATACTGAAACATAGCAAACTGCATCAAAACGGCACCAGAACTGCGCGTGGTGTGAACTGTAAGCAAAAACGTATCCAGAATGTGAATTGGCCTTGAATCTAATCACAGCATACACCGCACATTTGTTGCATAGTCTTTCTCCCTAGAAAAGTATTGTAACACAAGTGGAAGTCTTATAATAGTCATACATGCTTCGATAAATAATGGTTTTCCTTTTTGATTGATCTCTTCTGATGGGAATAATCAATGATATACACTGCTGTGCAAAAGTTTTAGGTAGGTGCGAAAAAATGCTGTAAATTAAGAATGCTTTCAGAAACAGAAGTGTTATTTTTTTTTTCAAATAATAAAATACACTGCTCAAAAAAATTAAAGAAACACTTGAAAACACATCAGATCTCAATGGGGAAAAATATCATGCTAGATATCTATACTGATATGGACTGGGTAATGTGTTAGGAACATAAGGATGTCCCATCGTTTGATGGAAATTAAAATTATAAACCTACAGAGGACTGAATTCAAAGACACCCTGAAAACCAAAGTGAAAAAAATGATGCAGCAGGCTAATCTATTTTGCTGAAATTGCATTGCAGCAACTTAAAATGATACTCAATAATTTGTATGGCCCCAACATGCTTGTATGTATGCCTGACAATGTCGGGGCATGCTCCTAATGAGACAACAGATGGTGTCCTGGGGGTATTTCTTCCCAGATCTGGACCAGGGCTTCACTGAGCTCCTGGACAGTCTGGGGTGTAACCTGGCAGCGTTGGAAGGACCGAAACATGATATCTCAGAGGTGGTCTATTGGATTAAGGTCAGGCGAGCGTGGGGGCCATTTAATGGTATCATTTCCTTCATCCTCCAGGAACTTCCTGCATACTCTTGCCACATGAGGCCAGGCATTGTCATGCACCAGGAGGAACCCCGGACCCACTGCATCAGCATAGGGCTTGACAATGGGTCCAAGGATTTCATCCCAATACCTAATGGCAGTCACGGTGCCATTGTCTAGCCTGTAGAGGTCTGTGCGTCCCTCCATCGATATGCCTCGCCAAACCATCACTGACCCACCACCAAAAAATGTTGAACAATGTTATAAGCAGCATAACGTTCTCCATGGCCTCTCCAGACCCTTTCACGTCTGTCACATGTGCTCAGGGTGAATCTGCTCTCATCTGTGAAAAGCACAGGGCACCAGTGGCAGACCTGCCAATTTTGGTGTTCAATGGCAAATGCCAAATGAGATCTATGGTACCAGGCAGTGAGCACAGGTCCCACTAGAGGACGTTGGGCTCTCAGGCCACCCTCATGAAGTCTGTCTCTGATTGTTTAGTCAGAGACATTCACACCAGTAGCCTGCTGGAGGTCATTTTGTAGAGCTTTGGCAGTGCTCATCCTGTTCCTCCTTGCACAAAGGAGCAGATACCTGTCCTGCTGATGAGTTAAGTACCTTCTACGGCCCTGTCCAGTTCTCCTAGAGTAACTTCTTGTCTCCTGAAATCTCCTTCATGCTCTTGAGACTGTGCTGGGAGATGCAGGAAACCTTCTGGCAATGACACGTATTGATGAGCCATCCTGGAGGAGTTGGACTGCCTGTGCAACCTCTGTAGGGTCCAGGTATCGCCGCATGCTACCAGTAGTGACAATGACCCTAGCCAAATGCAAAACTAGTGAAAAACAGTCAGAAAAGATTAGCAAGGAAAAAAATGTCAGTGGCCTCCACCGGTAAAACCATTCCTGTTTTGGGGGTCATCTCACTGTTGCCCATCTAGCTCACCTGTTGTAAATTTCATTAACACCAAAGCAGCTGAAACTGATTAACAACCCCCTCTGCTATTTAATTGACCAGATCAATTAAAAAGTGTTTCTTTACTTTTTTCGAGCAGTGTAGAAGGCAAATGAACAGAAGAGAAATCCAAATCAAATCTATTTTTGGTGCGACCACCCTTTGCCTTCAAAACACTTACAGACAGTTTTTAAAGGAACTTGGCAGGTGGGTTTATTTCAAACACCTTGGAGAACTAACCACAGATCTTTTGTGGATGTAGGCTGCCTCAAATCCTTCTGTCTCTTTATGTAATCCCAGACACATTGTATGACTTCCAAACCATCACTTCCAGGACTCCTTGTTCTTCCCTATACTGAAGATACTTCTTAATAACATTGGTTGTATGTTTGTGGTCATTGTTCTGCTGAAGAATACATTTTGGGCCAATCCCAAGCCTTCCTGATGGTATGGCATGATGGATAAGTATCTGTCTGTATTTCTGAGCCATAAGGACACCATTGATCCTGACCAAATCTCAAACTCCATTTGCAGAAATGCAGACCAAACTTGTAATGAACCTTCACCATGCTTTATTGTTGCCTGTGTACACTCATTATTGTACCACACTCCAGCCCTTCATGAGCAAACCACCTCCTACTACAGCCAAATAGTTAAAATTTTGACTCATGAGTCCAGGGCACCTGCTGCCATTTTTCTGCACCACAGTTCCTATGTTTTCATGCATTGTTGAGTTGCTTAGCCTTGCTGCCATGTTGGAGGTATGGCTTTTTGGCAGCAATTCTTCCATGAAGACCACTTTTGGCCAGACTTCTGCAGACAGTAGATGGGTGCACCTGGGTCCCACTGGTTTCCTCCAGTTCTGTGCTGATGGCATTGCTGGACATCTTCCGATGTCAAAGGGAAGCAAGCATGATGTGTCTTTCATATGCTGCAATAAAGTGGAACTTTAGTCAGAAAATGAAGTCCTGCTAGATCACTTCGGGCTGGCCCCTTTTGCAGGTATAGCTATGTAAAACATTAAAAATAAGTGCCTATACTGTTTAAAATCCAGGAATACACTGGCTCACCCTGATCTGCACATGCTCAGTTGTCATCCTCTGGCAAGAATAAACAGGAGCAATACTGAAGGCAATTTATAGCAGCAATTTTGATAGCATAATTATTAAAGTATATGTAAACCCTCACTTTGTAAAACAACACATTCAGTTTAAAATAAAAATAAAAAGGCAAAACATTTGTGTATAGATATAAAAAATATGATAAATATTTTTTTTTTTTTTCCTATTATATAAGTGATCACACAATGTCTGTTCTCAGCTGCATAAGGAGCTAGGGGAGGAGAAATAGCAGGACACTGATCTTTCCAGTGAATGGCTGTGCATGGGTGGCATGTCAGGACAAGTTATTGGATGAGAGCAGGCTGAGTTCCAGCACAGCCAGAAAACTGACAACACTGCTCTTATGCCTAATGTGGTCAGTTTTGAATAGGAGAGCAGAAGGACTGGCAGGAACACCAGGGATTTCACGCAAAGGAACATGATACTTTTTCATACAAGTACATAGTACAGCAAGCACATACCAAGGATATGAAATGTTGGGTTTACATATTCTTTAATGTGCA